CAAATCTCACAACCGTGTTTGTGAAAATTTATGGAGGCCTATATTTAGTAGTTGGCTAGTGATGAGCTCTAGCTAGGGTGGTGATGATGAGGACGGCAATTACTGACAGTAAGATAAGTAATTTTTCAACTTCTCCTAAAGTACCTCACCTGCACCTCCTTCCCGCGGATTGACGATCGGGGTTTAATGATCTACTGATAGTGAAAAATCAATATGAGAAGCGTAAACCCCCACACAGACTGGTAATAGGCTGATGCCTAAGATGAGTGTTACCACTAAGAGAATGTTAGCTTTTCAACTCACAAAGCAGTATGCCCAGCGTTAACTAATAGATTAACGATCAAGGTTTAATGATCTACTGATAGTGGAAAATCACTATGAGAAGCCTAAACCCCCACACAGACTGGTAATAGGCTGATGCCTAAGATGAGTGTTACCACTAAGAGAATGTTAGCTTTTCAACTCACAAAGCAGTATGCCCAGCGTTAACTAATAGATTAACGATCAAGGTTTAATGATCTACTGATAGTGGAAAATCACTATGAGAAGCCTAAACCCCCACACAGACTGGTAATAGGCTGATGCCTAAGATGAGTGTTACCACTAAGAGAATGTTAGCTTTTCAACTCACAAAGCAGTATGCCCAGCGTTAACTAATAGATTAACGATCAAGGTTTAATGATCTACTGATAGTGAAAAATCAATATGAGAAGCTTAAACCCCCACACAGACTGGTAATAGGCTGATGCCTAAGATGAGTGTTACCACTAAGAGAATGTTAGCTTTTCAACTCACAAAGCAGTATGCCCAGCGTTAACTAATAGATTAACGATCAAGGTTTAATGATCTACTGATAGTGGAAAATCACTATGAGAAGCCTAAACCCCCACACAGACTGGTAATAGGCTGATGCCTAAGATGAGTGTTACCACTAAGAGAATGTTAGCTTTTCAACTCACAAAGCAGTATGCCCAGCGTTAACTAATAGATTAACGATCAAGGTTTAATGATCTACTGATAGTGGAAAATCACTATGAGAAGCCTAAACCCCCACACAGACTGGTAATAGGCTGATGCCTAAGATGAGTGTTACCACTAAGAGAATGTTAGCTTTTCAACTCACAAAGCAGTATGCCCAGCGTTAACTAATAGATTAACGATCAAGGTTTAATGATCTACTGACAGTGGAAAATCACTATGAGAAGCCTAAACCCCCACACAGACTGGTAATAGGCTGATGCCTAAGATGAGTGTTACCACTAAGAGAATGTTAGCTTTTCAACTCACAAAGCAGTATGCCCAGCGTTAACTAATAGATTAACGATCAAGGTTTAATGATCTACTGATAGTGGAAAATCACTATGAGAAGCCTAAACCCCCACACAGACTGGTAATAGGCTGATGCCTAAGATGAGTGTTACCACTAAGAGAATGTTAGCTTTTCAACTCACAAAGCAGTATGCCCAGCGTTAACTAATAGATTAACGATCAAGGTTTAATGATCTACTGACAGTGGAAAATCACTATGAGAAGCCTAAACCCCCACACAGACTGGTAATAGGCTGATGCCTAAGATGAGTGTTACCACTAAGAGAATGTTAGCTTTTCAACTCACAAAGCAGTATGCCCAGCGTTAACTAATAGATTAACGATCAAGGTTTAATGATCTACTGATAGTGGAAAATCACTATGAGAAGCCTAAACCCCCACACAGACTGGTAATAGGTTGATCGTCTCTTGAGCCGTCTCTTTAATATACACTTTTGATTTTATTCTGAGTGGTAGAATTTCGTCTGACTAGGAATCCGTTTGAAGGATAACACATCCACTATAATTACAGGCTGTTGGGTATTTTATCTTAATCCTCAGAGGAAACAACGCATAATATGTGGTCTTTCTTTGGAGTTGGTTGGAGTCATCCTTGGACTGCAGTATCTAAGTTCTATTTAAGTGGACTGTTAGCATGTTTGTTATTTTAAAGTTATTAAAATACTAAAGTGAATGTCTAAAAATAAATTTTCTCTCAAGCAAGCCTTTAATAAACTTCATTTTTGTTATGTCAAACTTTAACACGATTTTTATTATTATTAACTTGTATATGTGTACGTACCAATGTAATGGAATTTTATAAATCAGTTTTCAACCACTTTCGCACGTTTGAAAAATCTGAAAAATCGCTTATGATATGACTATGACGTAGTATTCTCTCACTAGGGTCTTCACTGCTCTACTACTCGTGATCTATGCGTGTTGTTTTTTTTTTCAAAACTCAAATTTATTAATTTTTACATCAACAATTTATAGGCCAGTGCGTATAAACAATCCGTATAAGGCGTAACAGACGAATTCCTTGCTTCGACATGCTTCGCTACCCACCCCACCGACGCACGTCTTCACTTTATCGCAATACTTCCGCCTATTATTTTCACCGGAGAACCAACGAACTGAGTGACTATTGACCCCTATACGCGGAGTGGAGGGTACTTGGTGAATTTCAACCGCATTCGTAATGGTCGCTCGGTTCAGCTTGAAAGAACCGTCGGTCAAGGCCCGATGCGGAAATCGCTGCAGGTAGTTAGTTATACAGGTCAGATATGTACTCGTACTTTCAGCGCTTGTAAAACATGTTTAAAATAATTTTAAATAACTGAACTTGAACTTATTAAGCAAACTATAGCATACCTACTAAAGGGGAGAGAGAAGTGTTAGAAGAGAGTGATAGAAAAAAACAAGGGCAGTGTGCTCTCAACTATATTCATAAAGTATTACATAAAAATATAACTTACAGCCTATGTACTGTAGGTACGTAGGTTGTTACTTCAAACTCCATTTAATATATAATTTTAATAACCATGCATATAAGCATGCTTCTATAAGAATTCCTTACGATGTTTTATCTTCAATGCCGACCACAGAATATTTTGGAATAAGGTAACTGCGGTTAATAAGGCCTGGTTAAGGGAAAATCGAAAATAAAGTCAGAAATATCTAATTTGGTCTACAGATTTTAATAAAAATCATTAGTTTAGTACATTTTCTAAAGTATGAACGAATAATTGTAACAATTTCCATAAAGAAAAAGAAAATTAAGCATTTCTAAAAACCTTGCTAATAGGCCTTATTTTACTATGGTAGGGTAATAAGGCCTACTGCTATAACGTACTCAAATAATCAATATATACGTAATGTGTTTAATATTTGTAATCAATAATCATGTGAATGCAGCAATTAAGACTTAAAATTCTAAAAAATATAGAAAACGCCTAATATATAAAACCCATAATGATAAACAAACTGACAAACAAACTCACTCCTCGTGATTATCATCAGTGCGTCGGTTGTGTCAAGAGTCGAGTTGAGTGTTAGGTTGAGTTGAGAATTGGGTTTATTGTTGAATTGAGTGTCCTTCCAAACCAAGTTTCTGTCACAGCGGCCAGTCTCAACGGAGACTAGACCATCAGCACAGTACAGAATTATAGTATCCGAATGTATGCGCAAGCACAGGTTCACCGTCTATTCCCTCACAATCATCAAATCGCAATCCAACACGGTCCGAGAGAGCTTAGGCGCAGGACCAATGATTTACACATAATTTAATAGCTTCTAATGTCAAAGCCTTAATTCTTCGACACACTTTGTCTTTGCACTGTTTGAACAGCTGAAACCAGGTCTTTTCCTGACTACGACATTAGTTTAATAATAAAAGCGTACGATTTATTTGCATTTATAACATTTTAAAACTGATATAAAATTCATGATAAAACAAAAAACTACACAAGAAAAAGGAGTATAATAAGGCCTATGCTGAAATTTACTAGGCCTTATTAACCGCCGTCCAAGTATTTAAGAAAAACCAAATCAAAAAGAAATTGACCACGATACGTGACTCAAATCTTTAAGATCAACATAGCATTTATTAATAGTGATAAAGATTACAATTTTAGATAGCTAAGTGTAATTTTACAAAACATACCTACGATTTATTTGGAGTGATTTTTATTATTGCTGCACTGCGGTCGTATCTTATGATAGATAATGCAACTCTAGTGACAGGACGCGGAGTAGCGCGTCTCTGCAAACTTGTAGAGACATTATCGTGCAACAGGAGTCTGTTATTATCTCCTTAAGCGAGTGCGGTTATTATAAATACGATTTTTGTATTTAAGGCCTTATTAGCCGAAAGGCGTTGTTACCCGCAGGCACCTTATTATTCAGATGAATAGTTTTAATAAAATCCCACGCGATACATTTATGTAATTTCTCACATAGCTTGCTTGTAAATAGCATCCATTATAAATTTAAAAGTGCTTACTTCATTATGTTCAAACATTAAAAAAATTATGTACTTCATCCAAAAGTTTATAATTGTACTGAGGCGTACAGTAGCCCAGCCCTCTTGTCCCTGACTCCGATACAATATTTTATTGCTATCTATTACTTACCAAATACATATTATCCACTCTGAAATTAATTGTTCGATTCTGATGAAACTTAGCACAGGTATAATCTACGTACCTATTATGAATAGTGCATAGATTTATTTTCATGTCCCTTGCTATTTTCATTCATATAAAAATCAAGACTTTTATATTACACACTGCATGTTTATGGAAGCTGTAAAAATTATAAATTCAAATAATAATATTCAGTTCATTTTGTAATATGTACCTAGCATAGTATTATATCTCAGCCCACTTTTGTCCACAACATGGACATGCCTAATATCTTTAACCCATAATACCAAATAAGTAATAAGTACCAAAGCCACATTCACCAAAATACTCTTCATGTGCCATGTAATCAAAGCCCAAACAGATATCCCAAACAGATTTTCCAAAGAAATATATTCATTTGTAGCACGTTCGTATTTATGACGTCATTATTTTTTTTATTGTTATATATTAATGTTTATAATCTTCATTTGTGGATTGAAAGCAATTATTATTATACCTAACCTAACTAAAAATAAATAGAACATACCTAATAATATAGTTTCATACCTGAGAAAAATATGGTGGCAACACCGCCCTCTGGTCATCCAGTCGGGAACACTGTACCCGCTCGAGAAGCTCGAATAATTCATGTTGAGCACGAGCGCCCCCTGTAGCTGTTGAAGCCCATGGCGTAGTCACCACGTGCTGCCGCCTGGTGGTGAAAATATAGAATAATGAGTAACGAGAGTTTTGCAGTACTTCTAAATTATTCCGCTAGATGACACTAGCTGTATAAAATATCGTTATGGAAACAAAATTTTTATATCCTGGATTCACTGACCTCTATATATTATATTAGAGGTCTGTATTCGAATCACAAATAAATAATATTTATTAAGACTGAACGATGACAAAATGAAAAAAAACATAGCTTTTTAAATTAAATAAAAATATCAGCAGTCTAATTTTAATTCAATTTTTTTCTTCGCCACTGCAATGATTAAATATTTATGCCTGTGAATTTTGAGAGGTAACGGCGAATTTCCGTTCGCCTTATTTTAATGACCGTGTTAAATAATATAGAGTTGAAGCTGCTAATAACAGCTTTTTACAAAAATAAGGTTTCTAGTGGTCTCAACCACAAATATTGACAACTAAAAAATTCACACACACAGCGTCATTTTTTGGTTTTGAAACTGTTCTTGAAATAATATGATTGTAAATAAATGTTCATTACATTTTTTTGATAAATAACCTACCGATTTAAACTTACAAATATTGTGCTCTAATTAAAATAGAAAGAATTTTTGAAGTTGAAATTGACACTAAAAGGGGCAGCCACTAAGACAGGGTGGCGCGTTTAGATGAGTCAATATGAAAAAAAACTAAAATTTCAGAATTATAGAAATTTATCATTCGTCATGAATTTTGATGGCTACAAAAATTTCATAACTACAAAGATACGGAAGAATAGAATTATAATGTTTGTAGTACGTGGTAGAGCCATGCTGCAGCTATCTTAGATGTATCACGAATGGGTCGGCTCGACCGGGAAGGACCACGCTTTCACAGAATACCACCGTAAAATAGCAGCTTAATGCTGCTATGTTTCGTATGGTGAGTGTAGAGAACCGGATACCCTTTTTACTGGAAACGAGGCATTCCATCTTAGTCCTCACGGGTGACAACGCATCTGCATCTTGATTAGTAACCGAGGATAGACATAGATGTCTATGAGGGGCACACTGAAATGATCGGGAATAAGAAAAAACACATGCACGGTATAGCTAAATTGTATTTTATTGTGTTTCTAAGTATTCTCCGTTCAACTTAATGCACTTTTCCATTCGTGCAAACCAATCATTAAAACAGTAATTCCAGTCTGAAGTTGATGTTGACAAAATGACTGATTTGTACGCTTCCACAGCTGCTTCGGGGTCTTCAAACCGTTGACCGCGTAATAAATCTTTCATCCTAGGGAATGTAAAGAAATCGTTTGGGCTCAGGTCAGGACTGTACGGAGGAAGGCTCATCAGCTCAACGTTTTCCTGCTTCACAAAATCGTTTGTCTTCCGAGCCGTATGGGAGCTCGCATTATCGTGATGTAAGATGATGCGACGTTTCGGGTTATTTTTTCGGAGTTCGGCTATCATTTCTGGCAAACAAACCATGACATACCGCTCAGCGGTAACCATTCTGCGTTCCTGTAAAGGAATTGTAGCAACATGCCCCTTTAGCCCGTAGCGACCATTTTCTTTGACACGCTGCGGGAGCGAACCACTTTCGTTGTTTGACCTCGTCTTCGAAGACCCAAACTGCTGACTGATGTTTTCTTTCAGGTTCGTATGAATAAATCCATGATTCGTCACCTGAGACGATATTATAAACGGCATTTGACTACCCTCCGTTAAAACGTTGCAGAGTATTCCGGCACCAATCTACACGAGCCGCCTTTTGCCCTTCGGACAAATTGTGGGGAACCCAGCGGGAAACTAGCTTTCTTACATACAGCTCATTATGTAATATCGACTGAATTGCAGTCATTCCGATACTGATAACAGCCCGAATCTGCTCGTATGTCACATAACGGTCATCTAATATAATAGTTCGCACAGCTGCGATGTTTTCAGGCGTGACCGCTGTTCTTGGTCGACCTCCAGAAGAAACAGTGCTGAGCGACACACGACCGCGTCGGAACTCGGCATACCAGCGGTATATTGTCGTTTGACTCGGTGCTTCAACATTATAAATCGAAACAAGCTCGCTCGCATCTTGAGATGAGCCGCGACGAAAATTGTGATAAATTATGGCACGGAAATGTTCATGCATGAGCTCCATTTCTATTAACAACGTGTCAACTTTAAACCAAAATAGTTTTTGTTTTTAAACATTTTTTTTAATTGTTTGAATGTCATTAAGATTCTATGAGGCTAGTATTCAAATTCTAAAAAAGGTTCTATTGTAACTCAATCCGAAATATTCTATTCCCGATCAATTCAGTGTGCCCCTCGTATGGCCCACAGCAACCACTTACCATCAGATGGACTGTGTGCTCGCTTGTCACCTTTATTCTATAAACAAATAAACAAAAATATTTAAGAACTATCACTTAACATAGGAATATGTTTATTTAATGAGAGAGAGACAGAGAGAGAGAGTAAATATCAACATATGGTAATATGTAATATAAGCTAATGTAGAATAAATATGACTAGCTCGTCCACAGAAGTTTCTTTAGTAAATTCATATAACGCAAAAAAAAAGCATAAACCAAACAAAGAGGTCCAAACAAACAACATAAATCACACATTTTATCAAAGCCCTAGCCCTTTTATTTTTACCTATACGAAGTGTTAAAGGTTTTAAAATGCTATCACTGACAGTAATGGACTTACCCGCACAATGGAACTCGTTATGGTGGTCAAGTTGGAATAATAAGATTAATGTTGATTGTGAGTTTTTTTTTTTGCTTGTTCACTGTCATGATAGTCGATTGAGAGGAATATTTGTTGGATCAGGTTTAATGTTGTTTTATTTTTTAGTCTTGCTAAGCAAGTGCCAGATGAAGTTTTTTACATGTTGGCAAATTATTGATCGCGTCAAGTCAGTACGGTTAAACGATCCTAATCCTAACTATTAATAAAAATTATTTTAATATTTTATGTATTATATGGTTATGTATTGTTATAATGTTATGTATTATAATTTATAACGGAAAATATGTGCAATAGGGCGTAAGTAAAGAGATTTAAAGGTCGCTCGTAAATATTTGAATGCCTTTGGGGTTTAGATGTAGGTAGGTAAGTAGCCTTAGCTTGGTCACCCGCGTTGAACAAAGAGTGTGCGATAGCCTAGCATAGGGTGCGAGTCCATAACATAACCTGCCTTTACCCTACGAGATTTTAGTGCGGCTTAAGAAGATCCACTACCCCAGATCATCCCGTGGATGTCGTAAAAGGTGATAGAGGGAAATTAAGCAAGAAATGTGCTGCAACATATTCCTGAAAAAACTGGCAATTTAAATATTGAACTTAATGAATGGATGGTTTGAAGTGCGTAAGAAATTCCATTACGTATTTTGCATTTAAGGTATTGAAGGATAGAAAAGTCATAAATTTGCAAGCATATGTCTTTCACACACTATTACAATGCTAGAGTGAAGAGAGTAGTGTTAAGCTAAGTCAGTGCTTAAACTTTGGTTACATCACCACTTGCCTTCAGGTAGTGTAGTCAGGGAAGTATTGATCTACAATAGTAAACGAATAATAATCGTGAATCATCATCATGGAATGGTATGCCCTAGATAATAAACTCTAGAAATTATAGATACATTTGCCGTATAGAACTTTTTTTTTTGTATTTGCATTGCAATTGCCTTTTCTGTTAGTTAATAGAATCAGGCCTTACTTTGCGGAAATCCATTAATCCACTAAGCGATCAGCCACCGCAGTCTATTTCACCTGAGGATGCCTCATGAGAGGCGAAACACGTGTCCTATTGTCGTCAGTGGTGTGTCTTTCTTAGTGTAGTGTTGTTGGGATTAGTGGTGACCGGGATAGTGCACGTAATTGAGGGAGGGCAGTAGGTGCACTTTAAACAAGGTAAGACATATCATTTTATTTTATCGAGCGGGTATACGCAAGGTAATTTTTACCAACTTTAATTGCCTGTTCTCTTCTTTTGGACTTCCGTGTGCATTAGGAGATATAATATAACGCCGTAACCATTACACTGATTTTAGAAATTGTTTTAAATGCTCTAACAAGTTATTTTTCAGTCCGTGATATTTTAGTTGCATGATTAACTTAAAATACTTTTTTTTAATTAAAAATAAAGTGAGGATGAAACCTGCATTTAATTATACCAATTAATTTTCTGTTCTAGTATAAATATGTCTAAAGTCAGTTATTTCTCACACTACAAGACAACAAGGCTGCACGATATCAGTTCATATTTTAGTATCAACGCTAATAACTTTGCCTCGTACTGTCAATGTAAGTAAGTGGTATAATAAAGTACTGCTAGATAATTTAATATAGATTGAATAATGCACTAATTAACGTCACTTTAGCAACACAAGACCGACATTTAACATTCAAATATTTAATTTACAACACTAAATTATCAATAATATATATATATATATATATATACATATTTAAAGCGAACTAGTTTACGTTACACGATTAATGCACAATTGTAACAGGATAAAAGTGTGGCACTCGCATCATCTTTTGTCTATTTGACAGACTATTTTTATATGTACGCGTATAATAATGCCGACAATTCTGATTTATGGGTCAATTAACTGACCATTCTGCGACCCCTCCAGCGTTACTAACGTAATGGTTTTCCAAATTAAATCTCTCCCCTGTTTCAAATTGCTACAATAACCGGTTCCCGGCGCCTTAATCAAAGAGTGTTTGTTTTTCAGCTAAGCCTAATTTGATTTTGTGGGGCGCTCATTCTCGTCGCGGCACACAAAGGGCAGATGTGTAGACTGGAGTGTATCAGTGATTGTTGTCTTTCAATTAGGATTTCTTATTATTGCTCCGAATTGGATTTGATACATAGTGACAATAATTGTGATGAATGCTGCACAAGAAGAGCCATGCCCCCCCCCCCCCCCTCCCTTAAATAATTACTATTTAGAGTAAAGGTAAAGTGACGATTTGGTAAGTCACGCAGGAAGTCAACGGACGCAGGTGGCTC